GAAAAAATATAACAGGCACGAGGAAACTACAATGATTATGCAGGTCCTAACACTTATTGTGAAGAAGGTGGTATCAGTTTGGTCTGGAGGGGCCAAGGCACCTAGGAGAGGGGAAAGGATGGCTTCATCTTTACATTTGAGGAGGGGAAATGATTTCATCTTTACTCTGAGTAAAGATTTAGATTTTCAGATAGGGAAGATAAACCTAAAGCTGGATGAGACACCCGCCCCCAAATTACATTATTCTGGATTATAAAAGGACCAATGATTATTCTTTCCATGAGGAAAAGGGCAGAACTTAGGACATTGACTATTTCTTCTTAAGTTAGAAAAGGGTACATAGCATAGGAAAGAGAAAATTTCCCTCAGCCTCAAAGAGAGTTGATTGTTCTTAGCTCAAAATATTTAGCATACCAGGGCTGGATGTCTTGAGGAGACCCGTTCTAAGAATCTTGGGGTGCTTCAATTTGAGCACTTTGAGAATAAATATTAATGTCATCTCCCACTACTTTTCTATCGACATACTGTAACAGGGTGGTCCCCAGGAAAGGGGGAGGTTCCCTGCCCCACCCAAGGGAGGGTGGAGCTGAGCAGGAAGAAGAGAAGCTGCAGAAGAGACTGAGGAAGGAAGCAGGATGGAGCCAGGAGACCTGGAGGAGGCGCGTGGAGCCTAGAGACACGTGAAGAAACTGCTCTTGTCTTTTTGGTCATGGACTGGGTGACACAGATGTGGGTGAGACCCATGGGGAGGTGACAATGGCAGCTTTTATCTTGATGTTGATTTTGCTCTTTTCCTTTCGGGCTTGTCTGATTGTTTCTGGCCCTTTTCTGTGGGTCCCCACTGGAAGATGCTTTAGACTTGTGGCAGGCTTTGGGGTCTTGCTCTGGGCCAATCCCGTTTGGATGGACTTTTACCCGCGAGGGGACGGGTAACTTTGGGTGCTTCATTTAGAAACTAGACTCTGCATTACCTGTATTGTTTCCTAGTTTTATTAAAGTTCCTTCCCATTAAAGTCTTATATGTTTTGTGTTGATGCGGCGGATGGCAGAACCCATTTAGAATAGGCAGGTTTGCGGGGTTTGGGCTGCCCCTCCCCCTGTCCCATAACAGTACCTTCTGAGTTTTTCTCCAAAGTGACATCCAGTTTTCTTCTTCAGAAATGAGTTCTTTCCCTTTAGTTTATTTCTATTTTATTTGTGACAGTTCAATACTTCTATAAACTACTACTTTTTTTTTAACCTCACTGAGTTTACTCACTTTATACTAAAGGCATGAGGAGAGTGGTCCTTTATGGCAAAACATTTGTAATAGGTCAAGTAAAGTAAAAGGCTGAGAAATGAATATTGAATTTATCATGAAAATGAAGTATTTTTGTTAAGTAATGGAAAATAACCTGATTAGCATGGGTTTAAGAAAGAATGCGAAAATTTTATCCATTTTGTGTTTTCTAATTGTCCTGCCTCTTTTTGTTTTCCTCCTTGTCTTTCATAGGCCTATTATTTTTTTAATTTTTATTCTTTTTCCTCCTCTGCTAGGTGATAAGTTGAATGCTGATTTTTGTTATATTCATTGCCTTTAAAATCACAACATATCACAACAAAGTTCAACATTGATCTGGACTGTACAAGGATCATAGAACACTTTTTTTTTTTTTTTTAAAGATTTATTTATTTATTTATACAAGCACTGGGTATAGTTAGAAGCGCGGGAGGGTGAGAGAATTCACCAGAGTCAGGAACAGAACAGGAAGGCTGACGAAACACACTGCTGAGGGGAGCAGTGGGCGCGGCAGAAGTCTGCACACCATGTGGGGACCCATGCCAGCGGCCTGGGATCAAACCGGCGCTGCAGATGCTGCGGACAGCTTCACAGCCCAGCACTCAACCAGTGCGCCACCAGGGAGGCCCTCATAGAACACTTTAATTCCAAAACCTTCACTTGACATTTTCCATTTTCCCCCTTTGTTCTGGTTTTAGTTCATTTTATACAACCCTGTAATATATTGTTTATTAATTTTTCTTGTGCTAATTAAATGTCTTCAATCTATAGATTGTTATCTTGCATGAATTATGGAAAATTCTCAGCCATTATTTGTTCAAATATTATCTCTGCCATCTTCTTTCTGGATCTCCAATTTCATGCATATTAGACCTTCTCCCAGGTCTCTTGAACCCTCTTCCACATTTTCTGTGACTGCCACATGCTGAATATTCTTCTGATTTGTTTTCTACTTTATTGATTTTTCTCTTCAATCCTTAAACTGTGTATTGGGCTTTAAATTTTGGTTATTGATATTTATTTGTGGCATAAAAATTCACTCTGTTCTTTTCAAACATGTTACTTTTGACATTTTCCATGTTTTAAATTTTTTTTACACACAGGAAGCATAATTGTTTTATAGTCTGACAATTCCTATAGTTGTGCATTTATTTCTGCCATTGTTTCTTCTGATTCTCACTTTTAGTACTTTATTTCCTTATATAATTAGTTGTTTTTGACTCTGTACTGCTTATTGCCTTAAAAGATTGCTAGCAGATTTTCTTTGAGGCCTTGGATGAAGATGTGTCCTCATAGAAAAGAAATCCATTTGCTTTTGCCAGTTACCTAGAAGTTCTACCAAAACAGTTCATCTTAAATTATATTTACAGCTGTAAGTTTTCTTTGACCTCCATGCTCATAAGGCTTTATGAGGTATAGTTTATGATATATATGGCAGTTCCTCCTCTACAGATGCAGGTGACAGTGGTCAGTATCACTGACACACACATTGGTCAGTATCAAACTTTTTAGTTCCCTTATGAGGCATAAGACACTTTTACTTCTTTTTAACCTCTAATCTAATGGTAAAGCTCTTTGTAGCCCCAGCTATATTATCGGGAAATAGGGAGAGGAGATAATTTCTTACTACAGTAATTCTTTACTTTGGATGAACTCTGGGTTTTGTCTTCTATTTCTCTAATGCTTCAAAAGACCTTGAAAACCTCAGCTGAATTTCTCCTGACATAGCAGATACACTCAGAGCAGAAGCAAACTTTCTTAAACTATTTCTCTCTCTAGGTTCCTTAACTTCACCTCGGTGGCCTGGTTTTCCTCACCATTTTGATGCTTTTCGAAGATTTTTTATTTTATCCAGTGTTTTAGTTGTTTTCTGCCGGAAAATAACCCAATTTGTTTTATTATGAACAAATAGATTGCCCCACTAACTTGTTATAAGCTGAAAAAAAAAAAAACCTTCAGTTTAACTTAGCAAATTTCTGGTAAAATGAAATTTACAAAAATAAAATTTTAGGCATATTTTATCTCTGTAAAAAAGAGGTATCTTGGGGCTCCCTGGTGGCGCAGCGGTTGAGCACTGGGTGGCGAGGCTGCCTGTAGCCTCTGCGGTGCCGGTTTGATCCCCGGCTGCTCCCTGGCCACCAGAGGAGGGTCCCACGTGGCGCGCAGACCTCTCCTGCCGCCTGCTGCTCCCCTCAGCAGTGTACTTCGGTCCTTCTGCCTGCTCTGCTCCCCACTCTGGCTCTGGTGAATTCTCTCACCCTCCCGCACTTCTGACTGTACCCAGTGCTTGTATAAATAAATAAATAAATCTTTTTTTAAAAAAAAAAGAGGTATCTTCAGCAAATTCCCATAGTTTTCCAATTCCTTATGCATTCATATGTATTACTTAGTAGTAAAATAATTTTTTAGAAGATTTATTTATTTATTTATTTATTTATTTATACAAGAACTGGGGTACATAGGCCAGATGTGCGGGAGAGTGAGAGGATTCACCAGAGACAGCGGGGAACAGAACAGGCAGACTGACTGAAAAACACTGCTGAGGGGAGCAGCAGGCGAGGCAGGAGAGGTCATGTAGGTATCACCCTGGCCGGGGATTGAACTCACATTGCAGAAGCTGTGGAGAGCTTCACAGCGCTGTGTTCAACCGCCTGTGCCACCAGGGGAGGCCCAATAGTAAAATAATTTTTAATTAAACTTTTAATTATCTTTTCTGATTATATAGGATTGATTTCTTCAGTGCTTAGAGTCTAAGAAAAATGTCAAATATGGATAGTGATTCTGAGCATCTTCTCAACCCCGAGGCAGATTATGAAATAAATCCTGGGCCTATGAATATTCAATTTGATTCATCAGATATCAGATCCAAACGGTAAGTTTTTAAAATAAAATTATCTGTAACTAAGCATACATAGTTTAAGTTGTAAAATATCCAATTTCTTAGCAGATTTGTGTGTCTGTATATGGGAGGGAATAAAAATTAGTAATATGAATACTGTTTCCTTAATCATACTCATCTTTTTTCATAAACCTGGTATCTCTGATGGGGGAAGAGTTGGGGTAAGTTTTACAAAGTAAGATGTAATTTATTTAAATGATTTAACATATATAAATATTGAATGCCTGCTTTCTGCAGGTGATATGCTAGAACAGAACAGTAAGAGTAACACACATTCTTTCCCTCATTGAACTGAAATTCTTGCAACTAGTTTAAGATAATCTGAGTTTAACATTTATTTCCCTGCATACTTGGAAAACTGAAAAGCATCCATTAAAAATTATAAATAGTAGAATTCGGTCAGGTGACCTTTTTAATACAGGCAAAAATAATAGCATTCTGATGAAAAAATGTAATGGAAGAAAACATAAAATGCCTTAAGAATGTGTAAAGTCTATATGAGAAAAGCTTTAAAATGCTACTCTTGGACCTAAAATAAAATTTAGAGTATTTTTTTCAAATTTTGAGATGTGGATTTTAAGTTGTACTGTTTTGTTTTTAATATAATCCTAACATAAATTAATGTCATTATCTTTGATGCAATAATCTCTTAAGACTTAGAAAAAAAAAGTTTTATATTTAGTGGGAGAACTTTTTGTACTTACTTGGTATTTTATCACATGTTTCTTAGCAATTATAAAAATGAAAATTTAAGCAAAATAAGTCAGTTAAGATGTCACTAATACCTTATATATTTAAATTTTGATTCTTCTGAATCATTTTTGACTTATAGTTATCAAAATTGGTATTTTTTTTATCCCCCCACAAAACTGTCCTTTGTACCATTTAGAGCATTGGTAATATAGCATTTCTTGAAAGAAATTTCTTGCAGATCACTAAGACTTAAGTTTTGATGTTTGTACTTTCCTAATCTTACCAGAAGGTGTCAGAAAAGGTTTTCTAACACCATGACTCCTATTTCTTCCTCAAATAGTCCTTTAATGGTTTGCTGACTGAAATAACCAAGAATGGCAAGAACTTATCATGCCTACATATTTAATTGCTGACATGATTAAAAGATGCCTGAATTATGCAATGCACTCTTGTTTTAGAAAAGTTTTCATTAGAATCAGTAAAATATGACATGTAACCAAAAAGCTAATTCTGCTCTCAGCGAAAATATTCACAAGTAGAATGTCATGCTCTTTACATTTTAATCCATAAATTTAATGTGATCCTTACCCCCCAAAAATGCCAGCAGCCAATTCCAAAACTTATATGACACAGCAATTTTCATCGTAAGAATTAATTTACAATGTCAAATAATATATATATATAAGGTTGATTAGTGCAGCATTTTTTATAAAAGCAAAAAGTGGAAAACAAAGTATCTTTTCTTACAAGACTTGATAAATAAATTATGGCACATTCATACAGTGGAATATTTTTACCCATTAAAAAGAAATAAGTGGCTTTATTAACCATCAAATTGTAACAAGTCTTTAACTTGCTTTGGAAATTGACAAAAGTCAAGTGCAGCGCAATGTGTATAATCTACCATTTGGATAAAAAAATAAGTGAACTATATATAATACAATATCTATAAATGACTCTCAGGGAATAAGTAGGAAACTGTAAGAATAGTTGGTTGCCTACTCAGATATAAACTGAGTGCTTAAGATAGGAGGTATGGCAGAGTCTTTAGGTAAATAACCAACAACTATTCAATAACAACTATTCAATATCTCTTGCTAACAGAATCCTTTTTTTGTTAAGGGTTGAAGTAGGTTCCAATCCAGGAGATGTAGAAGGATTGGTTTAAAGTTATTCTTGATAATCCTGTTTTCATTTTCCAGCTCCTTATTTTTTTAGCTTTCTTGCAACCACCAGTAGCAATGTGAAACTTAATCACATGAGAAATATATCATTGTCATTTATAGTGGCTGTCCAAGAATATAATGAAATGAATCTTATAATTTTTGCTTGCTTATTCCAACATTTGTGAATACAAGAACTAATGAATACTGATTGAATCCTCAGGATTTTCTTGAAGCCTCTAAATTCTATGATAAATAATTGGCCACTATGACTATAGAACATAGATAGTTAAAGTTCATTCCATTGCGATAAGTTGATAGGAGTTCAAACAGTTCTCTGAGAAATTAACTGTAGATCAAATGGAAATATGTCTTCTATAATAACTTGTTAAAATGAGAAGGAATTAACTATTTAGAATCATGGGATAACCGCCTAGGTAAGCATGTTCTATGGAAGGCAAGTATTTATAGGGACTTAGCAGTGTTGAATATATTTGCTTGTGTATAATTTCTGTTTAAGAAAACAGAATTATAGTTTATGATGAGGAAAGAAGTGTGTTTCATAAAACATTGTTATTCCTATCCTATATATACATAGTATTTATATATATATAAATTGAGACATACTGGAAAAAGTATCTTCTATCAGAAAAACCAGCTTAGACAACTGTTTCCAAAAATTCTATCATTTTAGTCACTGCACAACTTTGGTGATATACTATAACCACCTGTATGGTATAATATTATAATTTAATATTTAAAATCTATTTACTTTTTTAAATTAGGATTAGTTGTTTCTCATCTTCACATATTTGTATAATGAGTGATTTGAAGCAGTGTTTTTATTTTTCCTAGTATATATTGCAGTATATAACAAGTAGATAAAATAGCACTCATCCTTGTATTACCTAAAGTTATCTTAAATATTACCACATTTTGGTACAGTGTTCAGCTGCTAGGGAGTGGAAAAGAACATTTGATATTTTTGGATTGCTCATCCTCAGTGTAGCTTGTGGTTAATTCTATTTCTTCCTCTGGGTGGCAGTCAAAACCATGTATCAGTTCAAATGTAGCACTGAACTGGCACAGTGCTAGATCTTTTTATCATTTTGGTGGAACTGGGTTCTAATTAGACTTAGATGGAGAAAGGAGGCTTTTCACTAGCGGGTGAGATTACCTGTTAATCATTTGAGTCATTCGGTGGACTTCTGTAAGCTATACAAGTCCACTCTTCCCTTTGCAGGTCTCCCCTACCTCATCAAGTGCGGGGAGTATAAAGAAGATGCTAGGAAAAAAGCAAGCATAAAGAAATATAATCCCATGGGCCTCCCCGGTGGCGCAGCGTTTGAGCACTGGGTTGCGAAGCTGCCCGCAGCCTCTGCAGCGCCGGTTGGATCCCCAGCCGCTGGCAAGGGTCCCACATGGCGCGCAGACCTCTCCTGCCGCTCGCTGCTCCCCTCAGCAGTGTACTTTGTCACTCTGCCTGTTCTACTCTCTGCTCTGGCTCTGGTGAATTCTCTCACCCTCCTGTGTCTCTGACTGTACCCAGTGCTTGTATAAATAAATAAATAAATCTTTAAAAAAAAAAAAAGAAAAAGAATTATAGTCCCATCATATAGAGTACAGGCAATGTTTTTAGAACATTTTTGGTATATTTTCTCCTTGCCTTCTTTTCTGTGATTTGAAGGCAAAACTCCTTGCCTTCTTTTCTGTGATTTCATGAGCTCAGGTAGTGTATACAACCTAATATGCTGCTTTTACAACTTAAATTTATGTTACATGTTACTTCCGCAACTTACTCCTTAGTTGTCTGCCTATCTAACCTGCTTCTCTCTCCTATGCTTCTGCCCCTTCTTTTCTATTTCTTTCCAACCTTCTTCTTTTCCTTCTTTGTCAGTGACATTCAGTAAACTCCTTTTGTATTCTACACACTTGCTTCAACACAGCCCCTGTGGGGCTCTAGGGAAGGAGCAAAAGAAAGGAGCACCATGACAAGGGATTATAAGTATTATTTATATACATATATATACACACACACATATATACATGCACACATGTATGTATTTTTTTTTAAAGATTTATTCTTTGCTTATTTATTTATTTATTTATTTATACAAGCACTGGGTACAGTCAGAAGCGCGGGAGGGTGAGAGAATTCACCAGAGCCAGAGCGGGGAGCAGAGCAGGCAGAAGGACCTAAGTACACTGCTGAGGGGAGCAGCGGGCAGCAGGAGAGGTCTGCGCGCCATGCGGGACCCTCCTCCGGTGGCCGGGGAGCAGCCAGGGATCGAACCGGAGCTGCAGAGGCTGCGGGCAGCTTCACAACCCAGCGCTCAACCGCTGCGCCGCCAGGGAGGCCCGTATTTTTTTTTTTACTTAACTTAGTACTTATTTTTCAACAGGGAAAACATTGATTTAACTTATTTTTCAACAGGGGAAACATTGCTTTATTACTAAGAACCCTATGGGATTATATTGGCATAAGTGACTATACTGTAGGATCTGGCTGAGCACAGCCAGGAGTAGAATATGGCCATTTATAGTACTGAAGGTGCTTTATATAGTTCTCTGCAGGTACTTTGTTAAGAAAATTTATTGTGACAGTTTTGACTGAGGTTGAAGTTCCTTTGTTTGGTTTTTATTCTATTTTTAATCTGTAGGAGGTAGATTTTCTCAGCTATTAAGCTGAATGAGGCTTAGGGACATTGGTTAAAAACATTTCTAAAGGAAAAACCAGTTCTCGTGCTCCCTGACATAGATCTGATAAGAGCATGAAAACTTCTCCCTTTTTATCACTTTTGCCCATCAAGAAGGGAACTGAAAGCTTCACCTCCAACTGAGTCCCTAAGGGGACTTTTGAATGTTTAGGACTGGGGTTAGCACAATTTTTCTCTAAAGAGACAGATTAATAAATATTTTAGACTTCAGGGGTAATGCACTTTGCCACTGTGTGATAGAAACAGCCATAGATGATATAAAGTCATATGGTCCTGACTGTGTTCCAATGAAACTATTTATGAAAGCAGATCATGGACCAGATTTGTCTTATTCAGCCATATTTATCAACCCCTGGTTTTAAAGGAAGGTCTCTAAGTACTCAGGTGTAAACAGCCATTGAGACTGGTACTTCCTGCTGCTGTGACTCCTATGGATACCTCTTGCCTTGTTTCTTTTTTTTTTAAAGATTTATTTATTTATATATATAAAAACTGGGGTATGGGCCAGAGCTGTGGGGGGTGAGAGGATTCACAGAGACAGAGTGGGGAACAGAACAGGCAAATTGTCTGAGGTACACTGCTGAGGGGAGCAGCGGGCGAGACAGGAGAGGTCTGTTGTGCCATTTGGGTTGTTCCCCGGCCAGCTGGGGATTGAACTTGTGCTGCAGTGGCTGCGGATAGCTTCACAGGTTGCGTCTTAACCCCTTGCACCACCAGGGAGGGCCCCCTTGCCTTGTTTCTGAAGGAGTTAATTTCATTTGCCTTAATGTCACTCCATCTCCACAATTGCTTCTAATAAAAATGTTTTCATCAAATCTGTTCTAATCAAAATGCCCTTTTGGACAACAAAACAATTTCTGGTGTGTCCCCAAGCCTCAGGCCCTTGAAGCAAACCTAGAGTACTTAGGCAGGGTCATCCAAGGACTTCAGCTGCCATAAACTCACGGGACAGTGACTGAGGCTAACAATGATATATAAAGGGGAATTACCAGGTTTCAAGCTGTAGTTAAAAAAAAAGTTACAATAAAAATTATCCTTAAGCATCACTGAAATGCCCCCCATTCTTTTCATGTTAAGAATTCTTTCTAAACATTTTAAGTAAATCCATATTTAAATGTATCATAATTTAACAGTATTTAAATATTAATTTTACAATTTTAATTATTTTAAATAATGTGATAGCAGCTTTCTACATACCATATATATCCATATTTTTATTTACTTCTAATAATCTCAAAATAATCTCTATTATTAGAATAAAGGATATGAACACAATTAAGCCTTTATAGATGTAGCCAAATTATTTTCTAGAAAGGTTGTACCAACATATACTGTTACCAGCAATGTGTGAAAGTTCTTTTTTCAAAATTTCCTTTCTAATATTGTTTCTTTTCTTTTTTTCCTCAAATATCTCATATTTTGTTTATGAAACTTTGGTACATGTGAAAGATAATTGATAGGAGTCACCTGGCGGGACAGATTTCACACTGGGCTCTTGCTTTTATCATTCTATTCTCTTATCCCAGGATTGGTATGTTGAGTAACACGCCATAACCAAGAGTAGATTCTGGTTAGGTTACCACAATATTTTCCTTCTATGTTGAAAATATAGCTATCTTCACTTGAATCACCAGTTTGAGTAGACCATTCTTTATAAGCATATTTCTAGTGGGCAAGGCAGAAGTTGCTGTAGCCCATTTGCCTTTTTTTTTTTTTTTAAAGATTTGTTTATTTATACAAACACTGGGTACAGTCAGAAGTGTGGGAGGGTGAGGAATTCACAGAGCCAGAGCGGGGAACAGAACAGGCAGACCGGCGAAATACACTGCTGAGGGGAGCAGCGGGCACGGCAGGAGAGGTCTGCGGGCCATATGGGACCCTCGCCAGCGGCCAGGGAGGGATCTAACCAGCTTTGCAGAGGCTACAGGCAGCTTTGCAACCCAGCACTCAACTGCTGTGCCACCGGGGAGGCCCCCATTTGCCTTTATTGAGATAAACCAGGGTGAGGTTTCTAAGGCTTGATGTGAAGTGTCTTTTTTTAAGTAATAGAAATAAGAATAGGACTATTTTTCTTTGGTGATATGTTCATAGAGGAGGTTTTGGTTTTGTGTTTTCAATTTCTAGATAACTGAGTTAATTTAACAAAGCAATTTTATTGTTCATTTAAAGAATTACATGTATATCAAAAACAAGATTTATCTCAATATATATACTGATGAATTTTTTACTTTCTTTCATTACCTTTTTAGTTTTTAGGGAAAGGAAATTTTAGTTAAAATGCTGGCCTGACATTTTTCTTCTTTTCCACTATTTTCTTTTAATGGGAAAAAAGTTACGAAACTGGAATTTTATTTGTTTTCCAGAAATTCTTTTGGTAGAATTGTGTAAGAAGGGAAGTATTCATTGACATGACATTGCAGGCTGAAACCTTATAATTAAAACAGCTCTTTATTTCAAATTATTCAGTTAATAATTCTCAGTTTATAGCACTTAAGTAAATTGAGACAATTTGTGATTTATTTGTGACATTCTTATAAGTGGATAGAAGGAGGAGTTGCGTGGAGAACTCTGCCGTCGTGGGTATTTTTCCCACATTCCTAATCTTTCTTGTGGAAGGGTGTCCCACTTAGAGTTGCTTTTTCTGGATTGAAAATTCATGGTGGTGGTAGTGTTATTGATTTATTAATCAGCCCAGAGAAAAACTGAAGAACTATTATGTT